GAAGCAAATAAATTATCCTTGATGATTAGGAGTACTAACTATAAGGAGTTTTAGGAGTATTTGGTAAGTTATAACTAGATACAATGACACTGGAAATAGAGAGATTAAAACAGCTCCATCCTCTACTGTAAGATCTGCAGTTAAATGTCCAGTTGCAAAGAAGTGTGGGATGTTAAAACAAAACACATTAGTTGTACAGATGAACTACATATTTGTCTATATTTAAAGATAAAATATTGTTTTATGGTGTATTTAAACTGCCTCAGAAGGGATGAAAGTGTCTCTAAAAATCAGATCAAGGGGATAAAAAATAAAGTAAACAAGAGAAAACAAGGTTATTTAAAATTGCTGCTTATTTTTCATCATAACCAGTAGACTCAGCTCTTCAAGAAATTATTCATGTCCTGTGCTTTCTTCTCCTCCCTTGAATCCCACCCCCATATGTTCCTTCTCTACTTGCTCCTGTGTTTAACTAAAAAATACACCTTCCTATTAAAGTTCTTATTTCCTTACCTTCCACTTCCTTGTTACAACTGAACATTTTAGCAACGCTACATATCTGTGTTGCTAAAATTTTCATTTATAATAAGGAGCTGCTCTGGCTCTGACACAGTCCCCAGTAGTGGTTGCGTTTAGTGTTGGAGAACTAGAAGTAAAACTCATTCCAATGTAGCATTCGGTCGAAGTCGCTCTAGTTAAAAGCATCAACTAGAGGTTTTGAATCTAAATGCATAACACAGTGGTTAACTTTAATACATGTAATGCATACAAATATCTTTTTAGATTGCCACTGTGTGACCCTCAGTCCCAAAACATTGAATTTTCTTCCAGCGCATTATAAAAACCCATCTGAGATAAATGACAAACTCTGAGTTGCAGCGCCAGGGAGGCAGAGGCTACATCGGCTTATGCTTGAGCGAGCATGTAGGCCATACGCCATGGATGCACCACACACCCTGAGGTGAGTGGAGCGTTTTTTTTTTATATACACGTCAAGCAAGCTTCACTGCATCCTTGTGACACAACCCCTGCCTCAGAGAAGAGTCAACCCTGTGCTGAATAAAATAGGCCTGATATCAGCACGGAATATGGTAAATTGTTAAGGATAAAGATAAACTGGGGGGTTGAAGGTTGTGAAGTGTTTGTGCTGATTTTATTTCAACAAATTTCAATAGGTGAGCAATGTGTTGGTAAACTGAAATGCATTAGGAGACAATCATAGTCATTTGGAATTTTGAAATTATAATAATTGTAATTTTAACAATGTTGGAACACTTGGTCATGGTGCAAATTGTTGGGTCTCAATAAATAATTTTATGAGGAGCACAGTCTCGACCTGCACTATATATATATATATGATGATGTTATGATGTGGTGCTGTTCAAATAAAATTTAATTGAAATTGAGTGTACAGGCAGGTATTGAACAAACATTTACAAAAAGTAATGTGTAGTGGCAATCAGTGCTAATGTTGATGAGCTGGGCTAACTAGCTTACATTTTCTGAATGGAAGTTAATTAGCCTACCTCGCTATCTTCCACTTTCTGAGGTGATTATAACCTTAATTGTATAATAAAGGTCCTGCCTAAAGTCTTGTGTGAAAATGGTTGGATAGACAGTATAATATGCTCCAGTCTAACACACCAACCCAGGTTGAAACTGAGATTCTGTATCCAAAAATATGTCAAAAAATGGTTTGAGCATGCATAATAGCTACAGTATCATTATTGTTTGTAGTCCTTTACACAAAGAGTGAGAAGAACTCAAATTTGAGTTCATCTTTAACCAAGAGAAACCACTTGAAATGAAATTTATTAAATTTAATGTGACTTAATTTGGGCTATGAAGAGCTAGAAAATTTAATAAAGCCTTTAAAAGACAGAAATAATATTTTAGAGTGTGTCAGGGCAGGTATACCTTCACAAATGCTGAGCCCACAATGCCAACAATCGAATTAAACAAACTGAGGGAGATGTGGTTTACTCTGTTGCTAGGTGATGTTACCTATCACATCTTGTGATAGGAATGGGCAAGCCAATCCTGTTTCCTCGTTAGAAATCCGCAGCGAGATTAGATGTGAAATTTGAATATGAACAAGGATATCTAGGCTAATTATAACCCCTCATCCCGCTGCTTCGTCAGCACGAAGCGACATTCAATGGAATCAAATCAAACTCTGGGATGAGGGGAGGAGGGAGGAGGAGGAGGAAGGAGAGAAGAGGAGAGAGGAAGAAAGGAGCGAGGGGGGAGGAGTCAAGAGATCAATCCCTAGTTTGGGATTACGTGTGCTCAGATAACATCCTCCACCCCACCCACTGCTCCCTTTCTGGGTGAGTGTTTCAAGGCAGCGGTGAGCGATTCTTTAACCCATCTACACACACACACACACACACACACACACACACAAAAGCACCTTCACTCATACCCAGCACCCCCCATCCGCATAATGCCGCTGGCCAAGTTTACACCTAGCTCTGCCGCCATGGTCCCCAAATGCGATTAGCGCTTATCTGAAGGAAGACCAAACTACCTTCATCATCGAGTTCATCATCGTCACATCCATATTCATGCTGTTCAAATCCCCTCTGGAGTAAAACTAAAGGGATTCAAGCACCTGAGAACACGGCGCGCACAGTGGAGGAGGAAGGATTGCAGATTTCTCTATTGAGGTCACAGCTTCGTTTAAAAGAGGCATTTGAGGACTTTTTCTTTCACAAAGAGATATGGCACGAAAGTGACAACTCTTCTCATACAGTGATTGATTGCACATAATGGGAACAAATAAGAGTATCTCTAAAATGACAGGAGGTGATGTAAGACCAGGCTTTGACAAAATAATAATGATTCGACAGACACCATCATACGATATGATGATGAACGTTGGACTTTAAAATTAATTACTTTCTGAAATAGAAGGCCTTGTTTGCAGTATTCCATATTTTCTGTGGCTTCCTGCCAAAAGTGATGTGAATGGTTTTTTTATGGTGCAGTGGAAAACAGCGAAGTTTAGTAGTTCATGATAGAAGCCTCTTTCATACATAGAATCTGTAACACTGTTGGCTATAATTACTTGAATGAGTATGTTTTTTCACAAATACAGTGTCAGTGTCTGTGTCCACGCTGCAGAATGGATCAAGATATATTAGTGATTTTTTTACACTTGCCATGTGTGGCAGCACTGCTGGAGTCCAGTGGTGAATTGGAATATAATAACTCCACAGAAGAACAGTGTTGTGAATTTATAAATGATTAAATTTGGAACTTTTAAGATTTCAACTGCATGTCAGTTTCCCTACACTGCATTGGCCACATATTAAAGTCACAGAAATATACTAACTAGCAGTGTTCCATGTTTGTTGCCTGATTTCTTTCCACATTTTGGAAGTTGTGACTTCATCTCCTGTGTAATAATGCCACCTTGGTAGATTAGTAAAACCGGCATTTAAGACCGTAACCTGTATACCTGCACGCTAGTACTTCCAACAAGATATACGTATCTACAATTTTTATATATATCTTTGTACCGTTCTGGATGAACAGATATTAAAATGATGCACCCTTCTCATCTGATTCTGGTTAAGACATGTAGCAGGCATATTTTGAGGAAAGGTCAGTTTTATTTCAATAACAATTTTTAACATCTCTGTTATCAGTCAAAATCTACATATAAAAACTGTAGTTTTTCAGCAAAAACATTTTATGCTGGTGATATTTTGTAAAAATTGAGCTCCAGCTAAAAACATTGCTTAACAAACATCAAAACGTGTATATAATGATATGACTGCTAAGGCAAACAAGTGCAAGTAAAATTGTAATTTTACTCATTATATGTAACATTTAACTACTAAAATCCGGAGTAAAAAAACTGATCTAAAACCCATTATTAAAACGTGGTAAAAATATACAGCTTTCTCTTTCACTCTTTTACTCTTTTTCGTTTGTCTTGCCCTCCTAATGCCAACTTGATTCACTATTTCTGTCTTCTTATGCAGCGGCTACAGCTTTTTCTACCCTATTGTAACGAATGTTTCCCATCAGCAGCCACATAGGCCTACCTTCAAAACCACGGTCTCAACGGTTCCCCACCACTTCCACCTTCTTTTTCACTATGTGTGTGTGAGAGAGAGGGCTGTATGCAGCACACAGCTGCCAAAAGGCAGTCGAAACCTTGATAGCATCATCACACAGGAAAGAAGCTTGTGAGCTAGACAGTAGCTGGCGCTGCTAAATGTGGAGGAAAGGGGAGAAGTGGGGTTAAGTGCTAATCTGTCTCTTTGTGGATAAAACAGATGTTCAGAAAGCCTGGGAACTCTTCAAACTTGTTCACTTGTGGTTTCTTTGTGGAGGTCCGGGTAGCAGCATGTCCTTATCCAAAGTTTGTTACCACTACTAATTAGCAAAGATGGATGCATAGTATGTGTAACCAAATGTTAACACATTTAGGCAGCTCTCAACGAGAGGATGAAGTTTCAGCCAGAGTCTAGACTACAAAAACACCCACCTTAAACTGTTTAAAATAGCTTTCACCTTTCATCTATCCGCCCATTTTTTGTTCAGTGGTGTATTCATCTTATGCCTGAAGACAATTCACCAACAATGTGATATCATGTCAAGATATCCAATCCAATGCAGCCAGAGTTGATAGTTGCCATTTTTCCAGCAGTCTGAATCATCAGTGGCAAATATCACATTTTGTGGTGTCAGTCCGTAACAGAGCAAGGGCATATTTCAGTAGCAACCATGTTAGACCAGTGTTAAAAAACATGCATGGTGCAGATGAAACACACCCACCGTTACTGCTGTATACTGAATAACCATGGGGTGTAACCTTGATCAAACTTCTCTGGAGAAGTTAATTGACAAAGCTTACCCACCACTGAAGAGCATTAAACATTACAATATGATGCACAACACGACACCAGAATGTAAAAATACATTCAAATTAAAAGTTTAATCATCCATTGAAATCTATTACTGTATTAAAATGAGAACAAATTCAGTTTAATGGCCATTCAAACATTTTTATTGCAATGACAAACTTGACATATTGTAAAAATGCAGACGGTTCAGGCAGCACTAGACATACAATAACAACCTCATACAATGAGATGTAAATGAAACTACAATAATGCATCATAATTTAAGGTTATTGTAGCTTTTGCATGATTGTGTGGTGGCAGGTAAATATAATCAACAATACACACATTACAAGATTCCTCTTTTGAAATGTAATGGGTTCAAATTGTTAATACTCTCAAAATAAGAATACTAATACTACTAAAGTACCAGTACCACAAAAATGTCAGAAAAAGTACAATGCTGTCCACCTCTAGTGTGTGAGGGCCTGCTTTTCCTTGAAGAAATTGAATGTAAACCTTTGTCAAGCGGGAGGACTAGATACATAGACTGCACCTAATTGTTACATGCCTATGTTTGTTTCAAAGTATTTACATTATGCAAATGTCAGATAACTTGCACATCCAATATCCAGTTATTTGACTCCATAATCAACATTTCCTATCTAAACCAAAGTCACCCTGACTTCTATCAAGTTTTGATAATTATTCCCAAGGCAATAGATGAATATCTGTCCACAATCTAGTTCACCAATCAGCTTATCTAATATGCTGCAAGTGAACTTTGTTCACACCCCGCATGTGCTATCCCTGTCCCCACCACCGTGCCCCTCCTCCCATTTTCCCTTGCTCCACTCCTTTCATCACTCCACATCCACAGGGGAGATGTAAAGCTTTTGGAGTAAATCAAGGCTTTCTCCTTCATAAATGCCTGTGCAATTAACTTAGCTCCTTCTCTCACTGATTTATGGCGGCCATGTTGGAGACTGGAGTCAGCCAGGCCCTCTGGGTTTCAAAAGAGAGGGCTATTTGGCTAACTCTCTCTCTCTGTCTTTCTCTCTCTCTCTCTCTCTCTCTCTCTCTCTCTCTCTCTCTCTCTCTCTCTCTCATACACACACTTTCAACCACAAACAGTGTATGCACACACACAGACTCATTCACATCTGCTTCTCTGAAAAGAGCAGTGAGTGAAATGATGAGGCATAATGGCAGAATGATTGGAAGCAGCACTGCAAATTCATCAGCCTTCTTACAAAGGTGTATATTCAAAGTCATAAAACATATTTAGTGTATAGATTCAGCGATTATATTTATATCTAAAACCAAATTCATCACTAATGATACATTAACCACGCTGTAAAAACAATTCTACCCTGGATAACGTTATTGTTATTGTAAGTGACTGTTTTTTTTTCTTTTATCAGTAATACAAAGACACATCTGCAAGTTTTGTTCAAGTCCTTTCATACAGCAAACTGTTCTGGCAGCATGGTGCCACATGGAAGTGATGGTACACACAAAAACCAACCATGTCATTCTCAAAGTCGTTGGTACGAGTTGGAAAATCAGGGGTTATTGATTGACCCAGAATTTCCCCACACATACAGTTCTGGCCCCTCCCTCTGAGGAAACTGCCTTCCACAGACTTTGTCTTCATTCCTGTCAAAATACCACGAAATGTGAACTTACATAATCATAAAATGCAACAAACTCAGTGTGAATGAGAAAAATATCTATCAATCTACATTGGAAAATGTTGCAGAACAAGGCTGTTGTTTTAGAGAACACCTGCAGTTTGGTGGTTTTCTTTCTTGAATTGAAACCTGGGTTGTATGAACTTTGAAGCTTTTCAAAAACACACAGTATAACCCCCTCTGCAAGATTTCTGTAATATATAACTGCATAGGAAAATGTAGTGTGGTTGTGTTAACAATATTCTAGTCATTTTGATCAACACCTGTAATGGCTCTGCTGCTCCCAGTGGAAGATGTAATGTAGGTATTCCTGATACAACAAATTGCACTGAGGAATTCAGTGTTATTGTCCCCTTTAATGGTGATTAGTGAGTAAAACTATGTCATAAACACAGATAATGACAAAAGATTAAAACAGAATCCAAACTGAAAGAATATAAATTGAATTTGCTGTACATTTACTTACAGTTATGTTTAGTGACATCATAGCATAAGAATTTATAGTTGAGAAATAAATGACTACTTCTTTTGGTTTTTATAGAGTTTAAAATGACATGTAGGGCAGCTGAATGGAAAGGGGTCAGAGATATAGCCCTCGAAACATCAGGTTTTGGGCCTGTGAGAGTGTGTCCTGCTGAAGTGTCCTTGAGCAAAACCCATTAACATCCCTGCTCACACAGTGCAAGCAGCTTCGTATAACAGTGTCAGCTAAATGGCTTAAAAGTTAAAAGAAACACTGACATAGTGAAGTCAGATTTAGTTTTATAAGCTTAATCACAGTTAAATGTTGGAGTAGAAGTATGACTGTGACAGGTTAAGAGGCTGACTCTAAAGTACCTTCAAAATTTAGAGCAAGGGAAAAAATAAATTTTGAAGGCACCAGAACGGAAATTTCATCAGGTAAAGTTTGTAGGATTTCAGAACAAAAAGTGTATGTGTTCACCTAATATATTAACAGTAGTTTAAATGTATATGAAACAACTATAATAAAAAAAGTAATGGAATATATTATATTATTGACATCATGTTGTAGGCAGAAGGGAGGAGGCTGGAATGGAGGGCTGTAAATCCTGTCCAGCAGTTTGAGATCCCTGTTCTAGGCTGTGCATTCTAGTCATTATGTGCTCAGAAAATAATAATAAAAATAATAATAATTCGCTACGGCTGAGATAGACCAATGGGTATTAACTTGCTGTGTTTGCTGGTTCTGTGAAGTTCAGTGGAGTTTCAGCTGACAAGTAGATGAGAAGACAATGACAGAATTTTCATTTTGCGTTCATATTTCTTTAAAGGCAGTTTTTTTGCTTGAATCCTTTGAGGGCTGCTTTTAGACAAGCTGCTAAATTTAGCATGGAAACATTTGTGATTTTAATAATTTATTCCCAAACTGGCCTGTAAAGATCAACTCTCACATCCTTTGTGGGCTTTGTACTGTAGATGCAACCACAGATCTCCCAGTTTGTCATACTATGACTCTCAGAATGTCTCAGATTCTATTTGTGACTCTGTCTATTTACTTAAATGCATTTCAGACGTATAGACCAGGGCCCCTCCCAAAACCTACCCACATTTCCAAGCCCTCTCCACCCCCAACACACACTCTCACACACACATGCCCCTACAAAACCCTGGCCCTGCCCTTGTCTGCTGGCTGCCTCACTGCACACTGGCTCCATTCTTCCAGGCCACGGATTGAGAGGGGCTGGTGTGTCTATGCGTGCATTTGTGTGTGTGTTTAAGAGTGTATTGGTGCATACAGCACACAGAGTGTGCTGGAAAGCCAGTGTATATGTGTGCTTGTGTGAGGCAGTGCATCAAAAGCTACAGATGTGTGTGTTTCATGTTTTTTGGAGTGATTATGCTGTTAACGTGTGTGCAGAAGGCACAGACTGCAGATGGGTTTAATGCATGTGGGAGGCTAATGTGCGCATGAGTGTTTGCATGTGACAGCAAGAGGGAGGGAGACTGACGGATACAGCATGTCAGGATGTGTGCAGGAGTATTCAGGCAGATGACCCCCTACACCCCTCTCTTACCGCCCCTCGATCTAACCCGCCATCCCTCCACCCTGTACCCCCTCACAAACCCATCCACCCCAACCACATCTCCACCCCCACACTCAGGCCTGTACACAATGTTCTCACCGAGGCTGGCCTGTCATCTCCTGGCACAGGATTTCAGAATGGATGTAATTGGTCAGGGTCAGTCTCAAATTATGTTTTCACTTTTGGCTGAATGATGGCAAAATAATATACAACAACTTTATTAGCCCCCAAGCGAGGAATAAGTGTAGGGACAAGACAGAGGGGGCAATGTGCACAATACAAAAGGTGTAACATTATATAAAAATAATTCATAGCAACACATACCAGATTCTACATTCACTCTGTCATGCAACAATTTAAATTTAAGAAAGAGGAGTATTTAATCACCTGTTGATATCACAATAACCAGTGTTTTTAGGTGCAACATGTAACATTTTGTGTTTCTCAAACCTTTTCCAAAAGCCCATGCTACTTCTTATCACACAGACGATGTTGTTACTCCTCCTTACTGCTTCTTGGAAATTCTTTGATGATCAAGGAGAAGTGTAGAAACAGAAAACAAACCCTTAATGCAGGCAAAACAAATTCTGACAAGAACGTAACTTGGAATATTAAATATAATATTAAACTAATCAGAGAAATTATAATATTAACAAACAGAGAAAATTGGGTTTACATTTGTGTTTTATGCCACAAACTAATTTACCTTTGTGGTGTAAAGCACTTAAGTTGATTTACAACCAAATGAGATGCAGATACACGCGATGTACAGTAGAATCTGATGCTTGTCTTGATAATAATGTAATAGTGTTTTCATGTGTGTCAAATTAACGTGGTAATCAATTTCAAGCATAAATGCAACAGAAACCAAATTTCAGTTGAAGAGTTGAGCACAGATGTAAAGCAGCTATGTATTAAAATGCATCTGTGGTTTATGTGGGAAAATATAGTAAGGAGTAGAACTGTGTATCCACAGTCTTTGATCACTGAAAGATGAAACCATTGAACTAGTTTATCATCAACTAAAATGCACCCTGAACCCGAAAGCTACCTTTGCTTGCCATTTGTGCCACATGGGCACTAAATCACAGAGACAGAAACATAACAGCAGCTTACCTTTGTGTCAGCCCAAGGCACCAAGCGCTTTCTCCCTCCCTACATCTTCACTTTGTAGCCCATGCCAAACACTGTCACCCCAAATCTCCTACTAACCTGCCTCCTTATGGCAGCAGTCCTCAGAAGGCGATCGTGGCGGCATGGCAGAGCCACACAGCGCCATCTGCTTCAGCGGGGCACGTGGTGGAGGAGAGGGATGGGCTTCCTCCCTGCCTCTCCACACTCTATCCTCTCTACCTCCCTTCATCCAAATCCTTCATCCCATGTCTTGTAGATCACCCCCCTCGCACCCCACCGCCCCCCTCCCCAAAAGAAAAAAAAATCCTCCTGATAATTTCAAGGAATGAAGGGTCCCTCTGCGCTTGGATTTATGAACTCCTGCGGTAGCCATGGCAACCACGGGCAACTTTGTATTTGAGGAGGGGAATAAGGAGGGTGGAGTGGGGTGTTTGGGCGGGGAGGGTGGTAGGAAGATGTGTGTGCGGGGAGGGGGGAGGCTGAGAAAGAAGAGGCATTGTTGTATTGGTATTCAGGGTGTCAGCAAACCAGAGTAATTGCTGGGTCTTCATAAAGGGGAAGAGGTAAAAGCTTTTTCTGGGGGGTGCAACTCTCTAAATACTCCCAACACATGGCTGGAGGGAATAAACACTCGCTCTGTTTATATTGCCAGTTGACGGAAATTATTTTTATAATGTTTTTTGGCACAGCAGTGATGGAAGGGTCAATTCAATTTGGCTGGCAGTTAAATGAGGCATCGCATTGCATCTTTTTTTTTTTTTTTGCTAAACTGTATCCTTGCTAACACTTACTATCCCTTCAGCATGCTTTCAGGTGCAACGATAGAAGTTAGCCAGCCTTTTTACCATCACCCTATGCTAACACCTCTGTATCATATGCCACATGTAAATCCTGGAAACATAATGTATGTGATCTGTTTGCTGTCTCCCTGACTGTGTATCTGTAGCTCACTGCAGGATGTATATATCTGCTTTCAGCCCCTTATCAGGCGCTCACAGTGTTCCCTGTAAAGCACAGACTCAACCACTATAGAGACGTACTTGCTGTGAAAAGACAGTGAGAGAGAGAGAGAAAGAGTGAGAGAGAGAGAGAGAGTAGGAGAGAGGGGGATGGAAAAAAAAAAAAACTCCTGACACCTCAGACTCCACTTCACAGCCAGTGAAGGAAGAAAGTGAGCGAGCCGCTAAGCCTTCCCTCCCCGCAGCCGCCTGCAAGGTGGAGATATTACCGTTCACATTTGGACAGATGCTAGGATCCCACTGTGGTGTGTGTGTGTGTGTGTGTGTGTGTGTGTGTGTGTGTGTGTGGGTGTGTGTGCAAGGTTAAGGCCTTCAACTGTCACTGAGTTTTCCCTCTTATAGTAAATGTCTATTATTGTTTGATTTTGCTAAGTAACTTTTTTCTCTCTTTCCTTTTCACACTCTAAAGCAACGGCGATTTTATCATCAATTCAAAGAAAATCTGAAAATGTGTCCTTTGCCCTACACTTTGGGAAGCATGACATTTTCTGTGTGGTTGTGGGTTGAGGTACCTCCGGGAGAGTTGGATGCTTGCTGGGAACAACGGACGGATGCTGGGTTTTTACGTATCCCAAATGGTCAATTTAGAGAGCCTGTAAATGGTTTGGTTATGGTCATATTTCTAAATGCACAGCAGGATTATTTCTGAGTGTGAGCTTTAAAGGCGCTATGATTAAGCTGCTAGGGGGAACAAAACAAACATACTGCAAGAGACAGGGGCCCTATTGGGTGTAATGCTGTGTACTTAGAGAACGGCGAGACAATAATAGCATAATCAAACATGACATGATCTTATTGCCCTCCAAATGTCAACTGCTGATAGCAAACACTCAAGACCACTGACTCGCAGAGTAGCCAAGCAAAGGGAAAAAAAAACATTACAGTGTGTACAAGGCTGAAAAAGCTAAAATAAATACACATACACACACACAAAACCAGCTGCAGTCAGCATATGAACCGACACAAAATGGATAACTAGGAGGAAGTCTGAGTGACTTGTCCAAACCCAAGTCTCATGTCTTATGCACTTTCATGTTGCATTATATTTAATTATAGATCATACCAGGGCAGCCCTTAACAGTGCTTGCTTGCCTCACAGGTACAAACAGTTGAATAATTCAGTAGCCGGCGTGTAGGATAGGATGTGGTGTGAGTGCAGCAGGAGAATAAGCTTACTGTTATTCAACCCTTAGCTCCATCTTGCTGCGGGACAAAATGGAGATTCAGTGAGGTTAAATGGCAGATTTTTACAAGCTTGTACATGGCATAAACCAGCAAGGACACCTTTTACGTATCGAACAGAAAAATACCAATGTTTTAGTTTACGAGAGACTGACAGCATCTGGCTGCTTCTGTTTAATTTTTAATAGCAGTACAAGTCATTGGCAAGCCATTTATCTGAAAATCAATTGTAACGCAGAGCAAGCTATAGAGCATTAAACCATGTCCACGTTTTTACACTGCACAGTTTATTACAGGTTGACAGTTGACTACTATCATGTTCAACCAAACCCATTACCGTTATCTTTCTTTTATCCTGTGTGCCCAATATATTTTTACACATTCTCTATTATGAGAAAGCAAATTGCAGGTAGAGCTATAAATATAAAGAGATGTTATTGTGGTTACAAGGAGGGAGAGAGAAGACACTCATTTTTGCATTTCTCTTTATAGCAGGAATTAATGGACTCTGGAATGACCCGAATGGATTGGCACACAGGAGTGATGCACACAGGAGGTGGCACACAGGAGTGATGCAATCCCTTTGCTTCCCCTACATATCACAAAAGACTAAATATTACTAAAAACATTTTATGAGGAGAAAAGCAGGTGATTATACATAACACTTTCCAGGAAGGGGGATTGTAATAAAAATCCAGTGTTTTGCACTGTGACCAATTGAGAGGTTTGATAGCATTTGTTGTGTTTCTTTTAAAATGAAAAACTGGGAGGCCTCTGTCCGTACAGAATGAGGCCAGACAGAAAGCTTTCATTTTATTGTTATTATTATTATTCACTATATTGGATTTGTTAGTGTCCTCAGTGCGGATGACACAGCTACTCTTTGTGTCGACTTGCACCTGAAGTATCAACTTGTTGTTTTTTTGTTTTTATGTTTTCTTTTCCTATTGCTGTGAGTCACCTGAAATCGTCAAAGATTGTTCTAAATTACCATTTTATTGTGATAAATGTTATATTGTCATGAACTGTTTAACATTACGCACTGTTTCTGAGCTAAGATTATTTAATAGTTGGTCTGATTTTTTTTTACATTTGCTGTAAGAAACCAGAAATCAGATACAACCTAGGGGTCGGTTTTGTGTTTGGTACATTGTGTGTTTAATGCATAACGTGTGTGTGGCTGGTGCAGAAAGAGCTCACACCACATGTGACAAATTTTAATGTGCAGATGGTGTTACTAAATGGAATGTATCGTTTCAACGTATAAGTAGGATATGTAGCTACAATATACAGCTGGGATAAAATGCCACTTTTCTCCTGCTTAGCCGATACAGCAAACATAGTCAACACTGTAGCAATTTGAGTGTGTTACAATTTTACAGTAGCTGCACTATTTGGAAAAAATAGGCTACAGACTCAATATCTGAATAAAGAGGATGCTTGTAGTAGCATTTTAATGTTTCCAGCTGCTGTCTCCACTGAATCTGTTGAAAGCAGGCTTTGGATGCACAGCAGGAGTCAGGTGTGGTGGGAATGTGTTCTGCACTCCTCAGTGGTTCCCAGTGAAACTTTAGAATGAAAAGGAAAACTCTGGATATTCATGCCATCGTCTTTCCCAACAAAATAAGCTGTTCATTTCGGCTAGCCAGTAACAGGAAAGAAGCCTATGGTATGTGGAATATAACACTCTGTTTAAATCCAGGTCAGACATGTGATCTATAAAAATTGGATATTGTGTGTACACTATTTTTATCAGAGCTTGTTCTAATATTAAACCAATATGAATTAGTCTGATCTGAATAATTTGCTTTAAATTGGATTTTTAATGTTAGCTGTGTTCGCCAAATTCAGTCAATCTGGGGCAGAATTTAGATGTTAAAATGTATAAAAAGTTTTAGAAAAAGGAGGGGTTTCATGCATGTGAGAAAATAGAGATGGTTTATGGGACAGATACTAAAGAGAAAGACATGTAGATGCAGGGTTGTGGGGGTGGAGTGACAGATAAAGAGAGAAGAGAGAGCGAGAGAAGTGGATGCAATGAACAGGAAGCATCCGGAATGAATTCCCAGAGATGGCCACGCATGGCTGGGCTGAACTGGCCTGGATCCGGGAGGTGGAGGCTGGGTGGGGGGTTGAAAGGCTCCTGCACGTCCAGCTGGACAGAAAGAGAGAGACAGAAAGACGACGGAGAGCGCGCGCGAGAGAGAGAGGCCCCCGGGCGCCGACAGGTGTAGCCCTCCACTCCAGCTGAGGCCTCACAGCTGACCTGGATCTCTGGATATTTTTCTCTTCTGTCTATGCCCCCTCCCCACCTAAAAAAAACCACATGCTTTAACTCTAGTGTTACACCGTGTTCGCTATTCTTCATTCCATATGACAAGTCTCCTCACCAGGTTGCAGCACAGCCACAATTCATCACACAGTCACCTGGAGTTAAAAGTTAGAAACCTCTGTTAAACACTAGAAAAGTCTCCCTTCATGCATCCATCTTGCATCTTATTGCAGATACTTGCTGTAACTTGACTGATATGCAACAGAAGCGTACATTAGACATTAGAGTACACTGACTCTTAAGAAGGCAGTCAGCTTTCCACAAGCAGGAAGTGAGAGCAACTTTTTTTTCTTCTGTTAATGCAATTCCCCTAAGGATCAAACACAATGCAGCAGCAAACATCCACGGTAATAAAAAGTGGGTCTTCTACAGTGGTGAGAGCTGTAATTCTCGCTCATGAAAGCAATGTCTGAGCAAAAAACAGAGAGACTTCTTGTAATTTTTACGTTGGTTGACAATGGTGAGCGACAGGAAACGTGTGATGACATGAAAAACTTCTGGCTCTTTGGCTGGATTCACATACAGGACACTGATTCAGCCTGGACACCAGATAAGCACTAAATGTTTTATACATATAAGTTACTTAAGTTTTATAGCTTGGTTTGGGAACACTCTCATTTCTCATCTCATTTCAGCACAAAAAGTACTTAAGCACACCTTATCTGTTCACTCCCTCTTTGACTCCCCTTCTCTCTCTTATTCAAAT